TCTCCATAATGGCTACATGGTATAAATTCTGCATGTTCTACAAAACCTACACTTTATCTTAAATCCTTCATTTAATTTCTTTGGTTTCCCAGAAACAAAAGCTACTTAAGTGAACTGAGCCATGAAAGACAAGCAAAAGTAACTCTCTTTCTGTCCCCTAAAGCTCTGGAGATGCTTGTAAATACCAGTTTTAGCAGGTTGCATGGAAGAATTCCAAATGAATGCAGCTAGAACTAGTTTTGGACCATTGCTTTCCAGCAAAAACTGTCTTTGGCACTTATATAATCCAATTCCATGATGTTACTTTACACACAGTCCCGTATCAAGTTGACCGAGGAAATTAAAGACAACTTTTGTAACACAGGCACTTTAAATTAGAACAGAAAAATCTGCTCCCCATTAGGCAATACAGGAGCTTTTTTCAGAATGACAGAAACAGCAAGTAGTACCAAAAATAACATGAGAGAGTTCAGTAAATTCAGACTATCAGGGTGAAAGTTTTATCCAGCTCTATTAGACTTAAATAACAGTAGCACCTGGAAAATCTGAAGGCTACAATAGACTGGACAAGGCATTAAAAATACATAGCATGGAAAAGATTCTGTATAAGTTTGTTCACCCTCCAATTCTACAGTTAGATCTGTCACAGGTTTTCTTATGTACCTATCTTTCTTCCACTTAATATATCTCATAGTAACATACAAGCAACAAGACTCAAAATACAGCTATACCCTAAGTCTCCCATTTGGTAAACAGCTGAATATAGACATTTCTGACATGGGCATTAAATGTGTCAGGCCAGACTAACTTCCACCACCAAATGACAGCACTGCTCTTGGGCTTTTCTGACATACTTACTGCAAGGCTCACAACTTGCATGCGCAGATGCCTAGATTCAGCTGCATCAAAGAGCATGATCAAAGAAGCTCTAACAGGGTGGGAAAAGGTATACATAGCACACCATCCTTCAGCTAAAACAAAATACTAACCAAATCTGCATTCGGTGATTATGCAGAAGACTCAGGAACAAGAGTTTTAGCTCAAATGTTTCCATTAACACACTCTAGGAAAAGTAAGTTTGTTCCTCACTTTCCCCTTTTCCTAGTACAACAAAAACATTCTCTTGCAAATGGCTTTTATACACTTAGGTGAAATAGGCTGGAAAATGTACAGCTTAACTGCATTCCCCATGGTTCTGCAAAGGATATTCTGCTAGCCTCTGTACATCCATACAGTCTGGAAACCCTGGCCTGGATTATGCACTGTGAGCAGAGGAACACATGGCTGCAATCCTTAAAGCCTTGACTGTAACAAAGGTGGCAACTAGCTACAACCTGCTCCATGTTAATTAGGTGTCTCTGGAAAGGTGTGGACATGGTCTTCACTCAGCACCCTGACCTGAACACCAAGTCACCTGTGGCTCTCCTTTAACACAGAACTTCTAAGTTTCTGGTGTGTCAGGGAGTCTCTGAACAGCACTTCCCCAATCCCTAAATGGGGAGCACTAGCTTTGTCTTCAGGTGAAGTAGTTTAAAAAAATAAACTTGTCAAATCACTTCCCTATTCTATTCTCTTCAGCCTATCAAGAATAGCCAGGTAGTAAAATCCTTTTAGAAGGCTGAAGTATCACTTTACAAGAAGTTGTGTGACAAAAATGCATCAAGTAAGTCTCATCTTCCTATCTTTCTAAAGGCAAATTAAGTGATGACCAGTTATACAGCATTCTCCAAAACAGGGCTTTACAAATTTTAATGATTTCAGTGACATGCCATTTCATAGAAAAGCTGAGTCCAAAAGAAAACTGAAGCATTCCACATTTTATATGGATCAGAAGAAATGTTTCATCACTGAAGTAGTAGTGCTGAACAAAGCTGACATTAAAAAGGAAATCATGAAACTAGTGTCCCCAATAAGACATCCTGGAACCAATGCTAGCTCTGAAAGGAGAAGCTTGAAGTCAACACAAGCAGCTAGAAGGGTACTTCCACCCAACAGCTACTATCTTGTGTTTTCACTTACCCTTGCCCTAAAGTGTTTGTTGAATCCTCTATTCTTTTGACTCCCTCCAGCTGATTCTCCTCCATGCTGTCTTACATGACCTGTCACTCTCCTTCACTCCTAGCTGTATTCAAGTATCACTTGTGAGGTCCCCAGATAGCAAAATCCTAAACATACCTCACCTGAGACAGTATTAAGATCTGACTAATCAGCACCATGGGAAAGCCTCTCTCATCTCTAGCATAATCCCACTAAGTGAGCTGGCTGAAAAAAAATGATGGCTACAAAACCAAAGGAATCCAGGGATGGAGTTCCCATCTTGGGGGTAGGTATCCTAGTGCCTGCACAACACAAAAACCAACTAACAGTATAGGCTGCTTCATATACAAAGCTACTCTAGCAAAAAACGTGGGTAAGGTTGTGATACTTCACTCAACTAAAGCAAGGATGTTGGGTCTCAGATCTTCACATTACAGTATGTCATAAACTGTGGTATGTCTGGTACTGTATTAGCCTCTGCTCTCCAGTAGCTCCTCAGGGCAAGCTTACTGCCCAAACACTGAGATTTATTAACTGAGCCTAGTTGAAGACTGTCACAAAATGCAGCTCAGGTCCTGCAGAGAGTGATCTCCTCCACCTGAATCACTACAGCATCCTACTGTTCTAATGAAAATTATGCTGAGGTGTCCCATGGCATGACCAGGGTTGTCAGTAGCAGATAATGACAGGAAAACTATGGAGAGAGGAAGGCTAACAGTTCCTGTCTGCCTCTCAGGTGACTTACTCAACCTACCATCCAAAGAGGGACAGAGGCAGCAAACACCTAAGAGAACCTGTTGGGTCTTGGCAGCATGTTAATACCATCAGGCTTACCACTGTTTGCTTCTAAGCAAACAGGTTTTATTTATTTAGAAGCCATCAGCAACAAAAAGTCAGTTTTCCAGCTGTCCATAATTCAAAATGTGAATGCAAAACTAAAAAAATTCTTTGAACAAATAGATTCAACCTTTTCAAGTACCTTATTTAGAGCAATTTTCTTGCATACAGAAGGGCCAAATAAGGCAGAAAGACTACCTGGCTGTATTTAAAAGTGCCCTGCCACATCTACAACAACTACTCAACAGTGTGGAAAAAACAAAGTGAAGACTGCAGGCTGGAATTCTTCTAGTGAAGCTCTTAACACAGATGAAAATCACAACAATACTGACGCATTGTCCATAGGGACTGAAGTTTCCAACTTTGCTCACAGTCAATGCCTGGATCAAGTCCAGGCCAAGTGGGAGTACTGCATGTGTGAATCTGCAGTCTCTGGGCTGCCCTCTGCACCAGCCAGGGTAGTTGCCCTTCGTTTAGCATTACAGTTCCCAGTGAACAAAGTTCAAGCAGCTAGCTGCAAACTTCTGATGCTGTTTACTTTCCTTTCAGAGTAAAGGAGCTTCCCAGTTTATCCAGAAACTACTCAGCAGTCAACTTCTAGGGTTTTGGGTTTTTTTTTTTTAATCCAGTTTTTTTACTTTAACATCCACAAAAATGGCTAGCAAGCCTAACAATATACTTGCTGCCATCATGCGGCACTTCGCTAGGATCTCCAAGTATAAAGACTAACAAACATTTTATAGAAATCAATCTTAAATAGAATGCCACAGGTTAGAGGATGAAGATGACAATGTAATCAAGAAAACTGAATCCTTGTAAGGCCTCATCTTTGTAGCTGGAACATTTCATATGTTCATGTTTCATATTTCAAGATTCCAAATCCCTCTAATGAAGCACTTACAGAAAGTTCAGTGTGATCAGGAGAGTGAAGTTGTCTTCCTCAACATGGTCAAGTAACCAAGTGCTTGAACAAGCACCTGGTTAAGAAATAGGTAACCAAATTCTGTCTCAAAGAGGTTTGCCTTTTTTTTTTTTTAAATGAAAACTTTATTTACACACAAGATTTTAAAATAAATACTAGCAGCTTCCTGGCAATAACCCCCAAAATGTAACAGCAACCCATAGTTGCTCTTAACACTTCAGAGTTAAGTTTCTTCCAGAAATAAAGACACAGGTAGGTGCACAAAAATGAGCTATATATTCTAACACACATCTCACACACACAGTATGTGATAAATACCTCACCTATGTCCCACCCATGAAACTATATCCTTCACATAATTATTTCACTGCACAGAGAAGTTGTGGAGCTTCAATATTTATGGCAAAGTGAGGACAAGGCAAAAGTAGGCAAAGCTATAAACAGCAGTGCTGAGATGTGGGGAACACGTGGCAAATGTATGCTTAAGACAGCCCAAGAAAATGCTCAGTGGATGAAAAGGGAAAAAAATCAGTAATGCCCTTTATGTCTGCAGGCTTTATGGTTGTTCTTTTCTGTAGTCCCTCCTCCTGGCCTCCCATTATCACTAAGTTAATGCACATGACTAACCAGCTGCACCCTATAACTTTATACAGATGTCTATGTGCAGATAGAGAAACCTTATGTTCATAGTTGCCTTTCCCCTATTCAATACACAGAAACCACTTTAACATACAGTTTCAGGAATTTGTTCCCACTGGAGTAGCACACAGCACATTGTGACCACTTTCACTCTACAGAAAAAGAACAGTGGATTTTTTCCAGTTTATCAATTTGTACTGAATCAAAATCAACCACCTTGAAAATAAAATACAAGCATGTGCATTGATAAGCTGTCCAAATCTGTCTAAGCCTAAGTAATTTCCTAGGCTTCAGAAATACATGATCCCACCCTTGCTGTCTCACCTGGCTTCAAATGCAGTCCATGCACTGTCATTCTGAACCACAAGAATTTGAACAGCTGTCTCATATGGAGAGCATCAGTGGCATATTTAGTCTGAACAGTACTCAAACCCCTCTCCTAGTCAGGAAAAACACAAGCACTTGCCCAATTACATTCCCTGACAGGTGAGGTCCCCAGTACTCATCCAGTCGGTCCAACTGTAAGACAAGTAAGAAAAGGCATAAAATAGGCCAGTGTTTCTTCTTTTCATTACTTGATCATATGAGTCTCTTCATCAGCATCATAAAACTCCTCATCTTCACTTCCACTCCCTGCAGAACTGTCTTTGTCTCCAGACTAGAAACAAAAATGAAGTCATTGGTTAGTGCAGATGCCACTACATCAATCTCAAAATAAGCAAGCATGAACCATTACACTTATGTTGGAATGCTGGTAGAGGAAAAAGTAAGAAAAGACAGGTCAAATCACTGTATTAAAACTTCGTAAAAGACATTATGTGAATTAAGATTTCTGTGTGTCCTTGGTTCTTTAAAAGAGACTTCTAGTGGATGGACTTTCTCTGCTCCATCAGTACACTAGAGAATACATGCAGGAGAGAGACCAGCTAGAACAGTTCTGAAGTCATAATCTACTCAGCTTTCTTAATTTAAGTCTAAAGGTCCCTACTCAGTAGTGAGCTACTGGAAACAGGCTCAGAACACACAGGTTACTTGATCAGGTAAAAGCTTCTCCATCCTGAATTATTATTCCTCCATGTGTAGCATGGGCATTTTCCTATACAAGTTTTCAATTAAAAAGATCCCCCTGCAACACTAATTAAAGGTGTTATGGAAGAGGGAAAAAAATTACCACTTCATATGTTCAGAAAGTAAACTCCCTATTATAGGCATAACTACTCCAGCCAGAGTCCTTTTAACAACATAATTTATATCATATACCCAAACTAAAGTCAGCTATTACAGCTAATTGATTTTTGTTTGGCCACTATAGCATTTTTCCATGGAACTGATACAAATTATTCCAGTTAAAAAGATTCTCTTGCTAATATGAACTCCATTTAGTTTGAGTATTTAGGATTTTTTTTCCAGTATGCTTGCATCCACCCTAAGACTTCTGCCTGCCTAGTCATATGCAAAGAAGGGTGAGAGAGAAGGTGAAAAATAGAGAAATGGAAATCATGTTCCTGACTGACAGTACCATGCAAGCAAAATCTGTAGCTTTAGATCTATCTTCAGAGGAGTTTTGCTACAGCAACGTGCGTTAACTGCAAAGGAATTTCAAACAGTTTGAGCACTAAGACCTGTCAGAAAATATAAAGGGAATCATGTTATGCTTTTTTCTGGATTTCTAAAATTATTTGAGGAAAGTCAGGCTATCACTGGATGCTGTCCAACTTGAATATCACATTCATGTATGTTAACAGAGACAAAACCTCTATTCTGGGCAACAGAATGCATGTTATCTTTAAAGTGGTACAAAAGGACAATGGATTCCACAGGGGGAAATTCAGGGTATGCCAAATAAATTCTACCTCTTTCTTATAGCAGCTTTGTAAGACCTCTCCATGGCCCTGTCAAATAGGGTTAATGTTTAGCAGCTTTTCATTTTATCAGCACTTTATGAGCTTTAAAATAAAGCCCTAATATGTCACAGACATTCCAGGTCCATAACTTCAGTGAAGATGTGATTACTTCAGCCCTGAACCAATGACATTTTTTTTCATTTGGATTCAATAATTTTAATCCATCTGGGGAAAAGTGTTCCTGAAGAACATTCTCAAATTATTTTTTTTTTATTTTGCGGATCCTGTTCAGGTTGAGATTTTTAAGAACCCTGCTTGCACTTCTGCAGGCAAGATTTAAACTTGACAAGGCTGCTTGACATAAGCAAACCAAGTTGTGCAAATACTGACAGACAAACAATACTTGTCTCCTCAAAGGGCAATACTGACCTTACTTGGTTAAAAAGGAAAATAGAAATGTGACTTGCCCTGTCTAAATTGTAACACCTGCACTGTTGGCTAGAATTGTTTTTTGTTAGTAAACCATCTGCACAGTTAAGATGCAATAATGATGTAATTACCAAAATAACAGCTGGTGTAAACTTGAGGTAAATGTATATGATGGATTTGTGTAACCAGCAAGAATGTGGTGCCATAACACATTATCCAGTATGGTTAAAAATGTTTATAAAATGTGCATGTAAAGTAGCTAAAGTATAAAATTAATTGTTACAGGGCTGCCTCTTTCAAGCCTTCTTCAAGGGTGCTTTTGTCACTAAACTGTGCTGTCCTGTCAAGAATTATTACAGCTAAAATCGGTAAACAAGGCAACGTGTTGAAGCCTTTGAAAGGAAGCAACTGTTCTCATTCTAGAAATAAATGTTACTCTGCTTCCTGATTTCTGTAAAAATAAGTTTATGACTACCTGTGAATCTCAGACTGCTTGACCAAAAATTAATCAAATGAAAGTAAAAGGTGTTATAAGGATCCTGTCTCATCCCAGCCTGATGGGACAACTAACATTTTTTTTTTTGAGTTGCCCTTCAAGTCTTCTGACCACTTACTCAATTTTTATTAGTCCATCGATACCTAAAATTTTGGGACCAGGATTTAAACGTTAAAACCTTACCCAAATTCAAACACCCACTTCCAGCTCTCTAGCTACTTTTCTCTAATCCCACTCCATTCACAGAGGAGCAGCCATGAAAAAAAAAAAACCCTCCACACAACTAAGCTGTACACACCTCAAGAGGTATCCAGGAGTTTGACAAAATGAAGTATAAAATAACATGAAAAAACAACATTTAAGGAAACCTCACTGAAAAACATCCTGCTACCACATTTAAACTTATGTCTACGAGTTTTGTAGTTTCAAAGTTTTCAACAAATCTCATTTCCCAGAATCAGCAGTGGGACAGATCTCAGAGGTTAGTCTAGCTTCAACCCATTTAAAGACTCTCTAGGATAGACCTAATAATTGACATTGCAGAACAGCCAGCGCAGGTCAGGGCAGAAATACAGTGTGCTGCCTTTAAGAACAGCCCTTCACAAACAGGCTTCTGTTTTCTTTAACATCTAAGGCTTCTCAAACTTCAATGGCCAGCTTTGCAAGAATCATGCTGCAGCAATCCATCGTAAAGATTAGAGAGGCACAGACACCACCGAGTCCTTTATTCCAAAGGAAAAGATTGTAAGCATTTGGCCTGGAAGGGATGAATTAATCCAGCTATGTTTCAGCCTGCATTTCCAGACATTTCAGACATGATGGTAAGGTTACTAAACTATCTTCTGTATCTCCTTGGGGCCTATCCTCCACAGGCCAAGAATCACTATCCTAATCTATTTAGAGTGGCATATTCAAACTGACAGCTGAAATAAACACAACAGAAAAGTACTAGGAAAAAAAATGAATATACCTGTGAGCCATCTAGGGCTTGCAATGACATCGCTTCATCACCCAGCCTCCAGTACGAGCATACCTGCAGGTCTGAAATAGTTTCTAGCAAAGGGCTGTTTAAGGTCTCTGGCAACAATAAACTTAAGAGCCCAGACAAAAGACCAGTTGCTCCAAACACAATATAAGGCAGAGACCACTGTACAGATTTCTGGAAAAAAGAACAGAGAGTTAGGTTGAGATTGGTTCCCTCTGGTTCATACTGCATATTAAAGCACTTAACCTTTACAACCATTCCATGTGGCAAGTGTTTGTGTTCATATTTAGCATAAAGGTTACCAGTCCTACTGGTCTTTTTTACCCACTATTGTCAATTGCATCTTGTCAATACTATAGGATTTACACAGATTTTGGGGATGGACATTAAAAAGAAATGCCTGCTGAATTTATACTCAATTCTTGTCCATAACATATATACTTTTTCACAAACGCAACATCACTTTGTAGTAGGGAAGAGATATCACAGAATCACAGACACACTGGTTAGAAGAGATCTCCTGAGGTCATCTAGGCCAACCACCTACTCCACACACGACTACAGCCAGCACTAGACTGGGTCAATCATAGTTTTGTGTAACCAAGTATTGAAAAAGCTCCAAGGATGGAGATTCCCCCTGAGTAGACTGTTCCAGGGCTGCATTAAGCCTCTCAAAAAGAATATTTTCCAAATTTCCTATCTAACCCCCAAGCCAAAACTTGACCCCTGCTGAAGTGTTCCACGCTGCTGGGAAGATCAGAGGTGCAATATTCCCTCAAGCTTTCATCTGAAGCCATGTGCTCTAGGCCCCTGACCATCTTGGTTACCCTTCCATTGGGCCCTCCCCAGATTTTTCAACATCCCTCTAGAACTAGGAGGGCGCTTAATCTGTGGGCCACATACTGAATTTGGCCTGATGTAGCTCAGTGTGAAGTTTGCCCGTTTGTGATGAGAGAACACTGCTAGCTCCCATTTAACTTGCCATCCTCTGTCGTACCTTGGTCTCTTCCAGCAAGGCTGCTACTCAGCCAGTTGGTTCCCAGCCTGTACTGACCATGTAATTAGTCCACACCAGAAACAGAATTTTACTCTTCTTGTTGGCCTTCATGGGACTTCTGTTGGCCCAAAAGGTCCCACTGGACTCAAGATCTACCATGTGGTGTGCCAATCACTCCTTATCTTCCATCCTCTAGAAATACTAGGAGGATTTATTCTGTCTTATCTTCCACTTGCCACCAGCCACCAAATACCAAGCCTGTCACTATCCCTTTGAGCCTGGTGGTCCATACAACATTCAAATCCAGTATTCCTTTCATGCAGGACACACTTCCTCAGCTTCCAATCAAGAATGCTGTGGGACAGTGTCAAAAGCCTTACAAACCCCTTTTCTGCTCTCTTCCCTCTCCTCACCCACATCACCTTCTGCAATGAAATAGCTGACTATCAAATCAAACTGGCTGAGAATGAATTGCCCTTTGTAAATGCATGTTCACTGATCCTGATTACCTTCTTGGCCTTCACATACTCAGAAACAGACTGAGAGGTCACGTCCCAGAGACTGAGTTTGAGCTGCTCAGCCTGTAACTTCCTGGATCCACTTTCTGATCTTAAAGATGCACATAGCATCAGCTTTTTTTTCCCCCCCACAGTTACCAGTGACCTGTCTCTACAACAATGGTTTGTCATAGGTGATGGGCACTTGCCTCACTATCACAGCCAGCTCTTTCACCACCTCTTAGGGAATCCTATTCCATGGAATGGAAAGCTTTCAGCTTTAAGTGTTCTTGAACCTATTGCTCCTCCACTGTTTGCTGCCCCTCTGCTTCCTCAACTGTGCTGATATGCACAAAGTCTTGGGGTCAGGCTTTGCCTATGAAGACTAAAGCAAAAGTGTTAAGTATTTCAGCTTATTCCAGCTCATTTGCCAATAGGATGTCCAACCCATTCAACAACCGGCTAAACATTTTCTCTAAATCTCCTTTAGCAGATGGAATCCCTATTTATGCTCTGTGCTAGTTTTACCTTCAACTGAGCTTTGGCCTTCCTGTTATCACCCCTGACAGCCTAAGCAATGTTTATACTCCTCCTTTGATGTCTGTCCCTGTTTTCACATAGCTTGTTACAAGCAAAACTACACTGGGGAAAGGTGTGTGCAAAAATACGAGTCATCTACAATATAGCTCCAAAATGTGTACATTCACTTTCAGACAACCAGTAAAGTAGGCTCACTTAAAAAAAGGCAAGAATTTAGCTGTTTGTTTCAAAAACTCACTTTGTATAGTAAAGAGCAATTCTAAATTGAGAAAGTAACAGGCTGTGATCAAATACAAGAGCAACATTTCATCTTTTAGTTCAGCAACTAACTTTTCCTATTCCTACCCTTTTTATAAGATCCCCAGACAAAAGATACTGAAAAAATGCATTAAAATAGTTGAAGAAATTCCACAACACAAAAATAGTTCATTCCTTCCTCAAATCAATGTTCATTCGTTATTTAACCAGAGCTATTTTCACTTTCATGGGACCCCTCCAAACATGATGATCCAAGATTTGTGTCTCCTGCAGTGCCAAATCTCTGCCAGATACAACATAATGGATGTCCCAACTGCTACATAGAAGCTGCCTATTACATCTGCCTGGGAAACCTGCACCAGTCTTGGCTTTGCCTGTTGTACCCCTGAGGTGCTCATACTCTCACCTACCCCATGTTTCATTCTGCAGATTAAAAGGCTCACTGTGCTCACCTGCCCTTTTGCTGCCCTTCTGCCTGACCTAACAAGATAGCAAATGGCAGACAGGAAAGTTGTTCCAGGTGAAATCTGTCACATTAAAGGAATTGTCACTTGACCTCAGCAAGCAGTTTGTGTGGAAAACTGGCACACTCTTTTACCTGCATACACATAAGACTATGAACATAGAGGAGAATAACAGCATCATCCCCGTGCTTCGTTCTTCAGAATTTTTCTTTGCCTTGACAGACTGCTGAGAAGTTTGTGTTCAAAATCCTTGCCAGTATATCAGGTCTCCACATCATCATCTTCATTCATTGAAAGATGAACCACTTTGCTGATAATTATAATCCATGGATATTCAATGAAATGCACTGATGGTAAAACTTATTTTTTCTCAGAAACACTAGTTATTAAGCCCATATGCTTTATCTTGATGCAGTAGATCTTTTAACTATGTGGGGGTTTTGCTATTACTTGCTTCAGGCTTAAAATTGGGTATCACCATCTTGGTATTTTGAAAATACTATATTGCTAAAGTCCACTAGCTAAGTCCCAAAATTCTTACAGGGCTTAAAACACCCAAACTAAATAATGTTGACTTTGTCTAATCACACAGAATATACTGCAATGCCTTTGGCCTACCACAATACTGTTAGGACATGAAATTTACATATCTTAGTTTATATACATAATTTATCCAAAACATTTCCACCTCTAGAAGCCTCTGATACATCAGAGTCACAAAACAAAAACATATATAACAGTGAGAAGTTCAGACAAACCAATGAAGGGACGAAAGGAGCAATGATTCCACCAACACGGGAAAACATGGAGCAGGCACCCATTCCAACATTCCTAAGAAGAAAAAAAATCATTAATCAGTGACATTTGCATAGGAGAAATTATGACTTGAAAAGTGCCAATGAGCAAGGAAAAAACACCCCCTCAGTCATGACCCTGATCACATTAACTGGAAAAGAAAAGTCAAATATAACTGAAAGCATCCCAGGACAGGAATTAAAACATACACTTTGTGCTTAGAGAGAAGCAAAAATCCCCTGCAGATTCAGAATTCTAACATACACACACATATAGAGAGGCAAAGAAAGTGTAATTTCAGTTAATGCGTCTTGTCTCTGCCTGAAACTTTGGCTAAGTTCCTTTATCCAAATTCTATGTATCAGCAGATTTGCCCACCCATGAAAAACACCACAGTATAGTTTCACTGGTGGCTGATCATCAACAATAACACCTGGTTAAAATATCTATTAAAAATTGGACCCATATGATAGATGCTTTTGTCTGCTCTGTCAGCACAAGCACAAGGTACTTCTGCCTCTAGTGAGTGAAACTTTACTGTTGCTTACATACAGCCTATGAAGCATTAAGTTACTTTTACAAAGCTTATTGACCAGTCATCTTCATGTTGCTGGTTAAGCAAGTGTGAATGTTTAATAGAGTTGTCTGGCTTATAAAGCACTGAAAAAGTTACAGATATCACTCATTAAAGAAATATCAGCAATACTATTGTTATCCTCATTAGTGGAGAGGGGCTGTGGGCATACCAAGCAACCAAAGGACTATTTTACTGTTATATAAAGAATATGGTTAGTCTGAAGAGAACACTGCAAATTTGAGGGAGGAGGAAGTGAGAAGAGGATAAAGGAAGAAATTCTGCATATAGAACTACACATAATAATTATACATAAATGAAAATCTCAAATGAAAAGGTAAGTTAATAGAAAAAAAAAAAGAGAAGTAAAATGTGATCAGGTAAGAGAACCAGAAAAATGAGGACCTTAAAATTAACTTGTGTTACCTGATCACTGTGGGATAAAGTTCTGATGTGTAGATGTAGACAATGTTAAATGCAGCACTGATTGTCAGTTTCCCCAGCAAAGACAGAGAGCGACTATTCACCACTGCGAACACTCCAGTATCTGATAGATAAAATGTGACCCTTGTAAGGCTTTCGATCACTCAAATACATCTCTGTAATCATTTCAGTCACACAACGGTATGGAGTAAAAAGGAATCTACTGAAGAATCTGCTATGGCAGCCAAGCGTTCTTCTATTAAAGGACAGTATCTGTCAGAGGTGAGCTGTACCTTCAGGGGAACTCTCAAAACTCAAGAGAACCCAAGGAGCTTTCTTTTAGGCCGCAATGGCAGAAATCATCCAACATAATTTATATTCTGTCTCTACAGATTTATTACCTTTATCTGTGCAATCAAATTTGTACAAAGAGGAAAACTCTCCATCTAACACACTGTGAAAAAATAACTGAAAAAAATGGATTTCAAATTCACAGCAGACTTGCTAACTAGCCCCAAATTGTTTCCATTCTATTAAATATAATCTAGTAGAAAAAGACTGGGTTAAATGACTGAACAGTCCCAGAGACTATAGAATGGAACTATTGCTGAATACCAGAAAAAAGAGAAACCGAGTTTTCCTTTCCTTGTCCTTGGTGTTCCAGTAAGTGACATCTTTAAAGCACTGAAATCCTACATTAAGGCTCTACTAGAATATCAAATTTTAGAAACCTAAGATAAAAATCCCATAAACATAGTAAAAGCTGAAACTAAACCTCAACATTTTCTGAGTCTACCACTAATAAAATACTGAACTTAGAAGTAGTTTAAGAAAAGAATAATGGATACATTTTTCAAAAGCGAGCAAGGTTGTTTTACTAAAAAGAGCCCTATTCAGTGTCAATTCCATAGTACGATAACATGCTTCTAACATTATTACTTTAGAAGAAAAACAAAAGACAAGAAGATGCTGTAAAGAACCATACCAAATATTGCACCCAGCTCAGTTTTGTCTGAACAGCCAGTGCTTATTCACTTATACTGGGCACATCAGAACATGCATTAAATGCCTACCAAGGCAGGCTACAGCATAAGCCATTACTGCTTTGAACAAATCATGCTCAGTAGAGACAGGTGCTTGCTTCTGGTCAGTTAGCCATTTTGCTTCCTAGGGCACCTGGCTGACTTTGGCAGTTCAACACAGCTGATTTCCTGGGGTCTCACAGTTCTAGACTCTGAAAATCTTTTTCTTTTCACATTGTACTTCAACTGATATGCAAAAACTACTTGATGACTGGTACCAGCCTAACCAGAATATCTCTGAGTGTCCAGTGTCTAGCATCTGGAATATTTCTGGAAACTTGAGTTGCAGCCCTTTAAAGAAAGTTTCACCTATTAGACTCATTGCCATCTAGAACAGTTTATGCACACTCTCATCATAAATATTTAATATTTTTGAATCATGCTTCAAACATTTGAAGCATTTTCTCTCCTTATGACACATTATACACGCACAAATCTTAACAAGCTGAGATGAATTTATGTAGCTAGTTTTAAAAGGAAAAATTGCTCACTTTCCAATGTTTTTCAAAACAATAGAAACAAAATTGCAAAATGAAGAAATGAATGTTAGTGTCCCTTTACAAAAAAGACATTTCATTTCACATTTCTTGAAGACCCCTTGCTTCAGAAGACTTTCAGACTGCTCTCTGAACTAAAAGTTATGTGGCCACATTACTAATACCACAATCACACCAGTCTTGAACATTACAGAACAGTGAAGAAAAGATGGAAACTTGCCCCAATATTCAATTCTTAGAGGATCTTTTGACATTGGTCTTCCACTTGGAGAGATACATACAAGTTGCACGGGTACTACTGACATATCATTTGGCTAATGAGATACCCCAAGAAACATGATTCTTTGGGATTAAGTCAGAAACACTGGAAAGGAATGATTGATATGATCAGAAGTAAAGGGCAGAATCCAAAGACAAAAGTTGAAATCCAAACCTTTCCAACAAGATTTCCTTAAGATTTTAGGAAGGCTGCTGCTTATCCTTTTTGCGAGTTAGCTTCTCTGGCTTCAAAAATTGAGACTCACACATGGTATGAGCGTAATCTACTGGCAACCATCAAATTCTTAGGCTGTAGGATACCGTATTTACCAATTTTTATCACATACTCCAGAAACAAAAGGAAATATTTACCTTTCTTTTTAGGAAGAAACATGACAATAAGACAAGCCAATCCTCCCAGGAACAGAAACGCACTCAATGTTCGCTTCCGACCAAACCTGATGTGCAAGGATAACAAAGCTTTATTCTGCATTAGATCTGTAGTTTGCAGAGCAATGAGTCCTCTAAATTCACGTTGTCTCTTTATTTGCAGTTGGAAATTCTGAATGTCATCTCCCACAAACACTTCCTCTCACACTGTTTTTAAACAAGTTTCTATTGCGCTCTTAAAATGAGCGCCAAGAAGCCTTTATGCAGTGGCTGACAATTTCTAGGATTTTGATTTGCTTCCCGCTGTGTGTGCACATTTGTAAAGCTCCTCAGGAGACACGTAGAGAAGAGATTGGGAGGTGAATTCTACAAAAAGTGAAAGACATTGTCCAGAGTATCATGGCTCAGGAAAAGGCTAAATATCTTAATCAACAGCTCTGCTCACACACTAGTGCACACAGCAACTATTACACGAAACCACACGATAGCTTCAGCTGAGTTTAGTTGCAATAGCTTTGACATAACAGTGAGAATGGGGATTACAAGACAGAGGTGGGAAGAACGCCATCTTGTGTTAGCATGGAGTCAGCACAGCTAGGTTCTACTGATCCAGGAGATCAGCCTCATCTCTGAGCCAAATTGAAACGGCTCATTAATGAAGTGAGCTACTGAGAGCAAGTTAAACTGTTATTTGAAATAAAGACATATCAATGGCACTTTCAAATTGAAGCAGGAAGCCCCACACGACAGATACAAGCTAGGAGATGCAATATACAGGAAACTTATCTTTGAGAAAAATTGTCAGAAAACAAAACCCTGAATGGGTAAATAAATTTCATACTTACCATTTTTGGTTAATCAGGTAAATACATATTGGGTATGCTGGGATTTCTATCAGCCCTGAAAGGGCTAAATTGGCATAAATACTTCCACCCAAGTCACCCACATTAAGAGTAAGACCATAGTAAACCAAACTGCACACAAACCTGCAGAAGACAGAAAAAGAATAAAATCAGAGCTGCTGCTTTGCCTGCCAAATCACAGCACTGGTCTGGCACAATACACTATAAACTATATTTAGTGTTTCAGAAGATAGGTCTAAAATGTTTCTCTACAAGTGCATGATGCTTTCTAGGTAAAGAAACCATTTTGTCTCTCCACAGACCCAATTCCAGACTTACAACTCAGTTAAACTCAAGAATACACTTAAGAAGAATGTGCATAAACCAGAATAAAGTTAAAATATGATCATATTATTTGGACTTGAGGAATGATGTCTTTGTCCTTTTTGTTTTTATCAGGTTTTACTTTCATCCATACTTTTCCAATTATGTGCAAACTCTTTCTCAAACAGTTCAGATGACACTTCCACCTTCTTTTAATTTCTACACCCTGGTCCAGTTTTATTCACTCTCCAATTCTGATTTTTTACTTTTCTTTTGTAACCCTGACTGGATGTCATCTTTACAGAGAGGAAAGGAACAGGTCACTAATTCATTCTGCAGGAAATCAGCAATTCTTATTTAAGGAACAGAAAAATTGACTATTCTGCAATAAGCATTTGGAAAAGCAACAGGAAAACAGCTCTATGTTGTCTGCTGACAAAATAATGCCATTTGTTTTTTTCTTAATCAATACATCTTCCCCAAATATATGCATTATAAAAGCAACTGTATGAACAGTAACTCCAGAGGACTCACATACTACATCATATATAAGGTTTATTTCAAAGTAGCAGCAAAAGACTCAGGGCTAGCAGAACTATCTGAAAGAAAACAGGCACTTTTGGCATTAAATTTCTGCTAGTGACTAGAGGTAGCATCATGGGTTCCTGCTCCTTACTACAGCAACTGCTAGCACTGGCAGCACCTTCTCTTAAGAAAATAAACACACTCATCAGACAAGGTAGACCACCCACCTGCTAATGGGCTCCTTACACAGAAAACAAAGAATAATCCATGTGACTGAAAGTACTGACACTGCACTGGGCCAAAGAGGAGGACAGCACGACTAATCTCAGCAGCCTTTGAGGGTCAGAAAGGAAGAAGTAGTTCCGAACTATTTTGAGACTCAAAAAGCACGACAAATGCAAAGATAACACACCTCAGAACTAGACTGTAAAAATGGCTTCATGTTAGAAATGCATTAAGGAAATATTATAATACAAGGATCCTTTTTAGGTAGTGTCCCTAATAATACAGGCTGAGACAAAGTACTATCTGCAGGATGAGCCAATTCTCAGCAACATGTTCTCTCAAAGACTTAAAAAGAGGCAACAGTGGTAGCACAGCTGGGCCTACAAAGTATTTCAAGTACCAGGTAAACATCATGATCAAGGTGCGTCCCAAGAGAATCTTATATCGGAACAGATCCAAGAAGCTGCCCGCCTCTCTGGAGCTCCTCTCTGCTGGGAGTTTTAATGAAAAAGTGCACTTCTGCTTGCGGTTCCTCTTCGCAATGAGGTAGAGGGCATCTTCTGCTTCATTCAGCCGGCCTTGTGAATAGAGCCAGCGGGGAGACTCTGGAATGAATCTGAAAACACACATACATACACAGGCAGCTTTAGGGCTTTTCTTTTCTATGAGGTTGGACTTGTCTATGGAAATAAGGCTGGAATACACTTCAGTATAACAAAATTTCTCAAACAACCCTTCAGGTATAAAATTCACTTACTGAAACAGAGGCAAAGCATTTTGAAAGGAAAGGGAACGTAAGTCACATGTAATTTAGATACCAAGAAATTACACTGAGTATATACATAAATACACACACATACATACACAATACTACAAGCTGCAGTATCATTAGGACCCTGTCTTCGGAGAATTCAGAATTAAGGATGCACCATATTACTAAAGGTAACACAGGATGTTTTTGTAACAACAACTAGTTGTCTTCCATTCCTCATTTTCCAACTTTTTCCCCGAATTCTCTCCTGCAGATGGGAAGACAGAGGCTGTGCAAAGGTCATGCTCTTGCTCCACATGTGTACTGATCATTTGGTAGGCCTATAATGCCAACACAGCGTAAAAAACAAATCTTCTATTACTTTCAGATTCCCAGAACTAATTTAAACTTTAGTCTTTTGCCAGAAGCTTTTTAAAATTTTTGCCTCTGACCAGAAGTGACATTTTTCCTTTAAATTTAAAGGAAGTGATTCTATGCTTTTATAAAAAAAAAGCTTAGAAAGGAACATGTTTTCTTCCCCATGATAAAAAAAATCTGGTAGCATTTTCTGTACAGAGTAATTTTTAAGCAATGTGGGAAGGAGGCAGTGTGAAATTTGAAATTAAAAAAAAAATCTTTTCTTACAGTAAGATAGGCTTCTGAGCACAGCTCTGAAGTCCCAAGCACAAAGCACTTCAAAAAAATTGTACATATTGATCTGAAAGCTAAAATTTTTCTCCAAAGGCCCCAAACACCATTAAGTTTTGAAATATCAGAAGTGTCATCTCTGCCTTCCACCTCATGAACAGCCTCTAAGACCTCTCCCTGAGTTCTGATGCTTCCTTCAAAAGGATGTGTTGACTCTTTAGCAAAGAACTTTTTGAATAAAGTTAGTTACTGAAGTTAAATAGATGTCAGAAGGAAAAAAAGCCTTAAGTTTAAACAGCAGCTAAAGTTATTTTCTTCTTTTAAGTTACTGAGATTTTGCTGTCAGGAAGTATGCAAGAAGAGCACACTGCATCATATAGCTTTCAGTGCTGAAGTCCACAAACACAAAACCCCTACTATCTTAATGTCCTGGTTTCAGCTGGGATATAGTTAATTGTCTTCCTAGTAGCTGGTACAGTGCTACGTTTTTGAGCTAGGTATGAGAAGAATGGTGATAACACTGATGTTTTCAGTTGTTGCTAAGTAATGTTTAATCTAAAAATCAAGGATTTTTCAGCTTTTGATGCCCAGCCAGCAAGAAGGCTGGAGGGGCACAAGAAGTTGGGAAGGGACACGGCCAGGGCAGCTGACCCAAACCAGCCAAAGGGGTATTCCATACCATGTGATGTCATGCCCAGTATATAAACTGGGGGAGTGGGGGCAGGGGGGATCACCACTCAGGGACTAACTGAGCATCAGTCGGCGGGTGGTGAGCAATTGCACTGTGCACCATTTGTATATTCCAATCCTTTTATTATTACTGTTGTCATTTTATTAGTGTTATTATTAGATTCTTCTTTTCTGTTCTATTAAACCATTCTTATCTCAACCCATGAGTTTTATTTCTTTTCCCCATTTTTTTCCCCATCCCACTGGGAGGGGGGGGATGTGAGTGTGCAGCTGCGTGGTGCTTAGTTGCTGGCTGGGGGTAAACCATGACACTTAATAAAGAAGCCTTCTTCCTATGCTTTCCTAATCACATTTGAAAAATAAAAGGAAGCTGCCCATTTTTTCTTTTGCATGTCACCTTTAAGACTTATGTGCAAGCAATTTTGATGCTGTTCCTTCTGTGTAAGCACAATTGTAAGAGAAACATCATGTTATTACACAACCACAAAAACATTTCTGTATCTTTCAACATGTATAGATAGTGTCTTGTAGCATACCAGACAACAGTTTAGATCATCTACATATACCAGTTAAAGATCAGGATGGGCTTCTACACTACTCTAGAGACTGTTCCCATCTACAGTAATAATGCATATACAATACAATGTACACTTACATTTTCAAATACTGCAGCACTGCTATTTAAAGAAACCACAGAGCATGGGGTGGTAGAAGTTGAGAGAAATACCTTAGTTACACCATTTCATGCCATCCTAGAAAGGCACCTTGACTTAGTTGTTTGGTTTGCTCATTGGGGTTTTGGGGTTGGGTTGTGTTTTGTTTTTGGTTTTTTGTTTTTTTTCTTTCTTATTTTTGACATCTTTCTTGATGAAACTCAGTTTGAAAAATAACTTACAGAGAGAGAAGAAAGACGATTGTTCCTTCCAGGTTAACCACAACAGCCAGAGTTCTCCAGGAACGAATGAAGTACCCTAATAAAGCATACTGGGCAATTCCCACAGCAAAGAACAAGCCACCAATAGATCCTAACATACAATTAAAAACAAAACATTATGACACCTTTAAGGGACATTAAATCTCAACACATGGGATCAGACAGAAACTAACACTTCATTAAGAAAAATTCACTGAGTGATACAGGCAAAACCACAGCTATTCAACAAAAGAATATTCTGTCCTTTACCCATGCAGGACATAAGTATTACATCTAATTGCAAAGATCAATACAAGTCCAAAGCCCCATAAACAATTAAGTCTTGTAATTCCAAATATAAATGTTTTAGCTTTCTATGTGTAAAAATAAATACTACAAACCATTGAAAAACTAGTATTTTTAGGAATGTATAGTATTCATTTGTAGCTCATGATTTGCAAGATACTCTGTTTTACAACAGTCTCAGCATAGCCCTTCTTTGGCACTTGTCACAGACTGGGTAAGTCAGGCCCCAGAGCTGTAACAGTACAATTTATAGGCACATCTGAAGGACAGCTTCAACACTAGCAACCAAGACAGTTAAGAGTCTCTGGATCTTTTGTTCTAAATTCTAAGGTGGATTACCACATGGGACAATTTTTTTTTTTTTTTTAAACACATAAAGAGTTGTCTCATTTTCCCATTATATAAAAACACTTTTGATTTCTTTTGAAGAACTGCCAGGAATGAAAGAATTGATATTTAGCATACAAACACTAAGCTCTGTTTAGCAGAGTCCAAAATTCCAATGGATAGAGCTCAGCAATCATGAACCTTGGATTAGTAGTTAGCTGCGTAACATTCACAGGGGATGTTTCAACAGGACCTTTGTCAACTTGAGTGATGCAGAAAACTGAATGGCCCCAAGCCATCTACCATGCTTGCCTAAGGTTCGTATTAAACAAAGCCAGGCTCAAAGACTGTGGTCACACAGATGCTCAAGCAGTTAAATTCACAACTGCTATGGTGTTAGCTGTGGTGTGTCTCAAGCAGTACGAGAGACTGAAATTTATAAATTCTGACAATAAAGACACTGGCACTCAAACTTTACCTGCTAATGCCCAGTAGGCAGTACCCACACACTCATTCAGTAGAACAAAGGCCACCAGTGACATCCCACCATTCATCATCCCTACCAAGAAGCGAGAGATAGCAAAGAATTCATACGAGGGTGAGAATCCATTTGCAATGGCAAACAAGATGTCAAGAGCAAAACCTGGAAAACAAGGCAAAAGGTTTCATTTCAGAAGAGTACTTCAGTTAAAACAGAAGCATTTATCAGTATCTTTACTTGATGTTCAGTGGCATCTGTCCCAAGCAATCACAGTCAACAACTACAACACAGGTTTGAACAGAAATTTAAGTACTTAAAGTCAGTATCATAAAAGGGGGGACACAAAAGGAGTGGTTTCTGATACATAATTTGCAGTACCAAACCTTCAAATTCAGTTCACGGCAGACAATTTTTTCATATACTCAGAATTACTGTCTGGCTCCAGTTAAGATGGCTTGATATTTATCCCCATACAGAAGCCACAGATTAAATATATGACCAAATAGAATCATAGAATCATTTAGGTTGGAAAAGACCTTTAAGATCAAGTCCAACTGTCAACCATGCCCACTAAACCATGTCCCTAAGCACCACATCTACACATCTTTTAAATACCTCCAGGGATGGTGACTCAACCACTTCCCTGGGCAGCCTGTTCTAATGCCTGACAACCCTTTCAGTAAAGAAATTTTTTCTAATATCCAAACTAAACCTCCCCTGGCACAACTTGAGACCATTTCCTCTTGTCCTATCACTAGTTACTTGATAGGAGAGACCAGCACCCACCTCACTACAACCCCCTTTCGGGTAGTTGTAGAGAGCAATAAGGTCTCCCCTCAGCCTCCTTTTCTCCAGGTTAAACAACCTCAGTTCCCTCAGCAGCTCCTCATAAGACTTGAGCTCCAGGCCCCTCACCGGCTTCGTTGCCCTTCTCTGGACATGCTCTAGCACCTCAACATCTTCCCTGTAGCGAGGGGCCCCAAACCAAACACAGTATTCGAGGTGCGGCCTCACCAGTGCCAAGTACAGGGGGACAACCACTCCCAGCTCCTGCTGGCCACACTATTTCTGATACAGGCCAGGGTGCTGTTGGCCGCCTTGGCCACCTGGGCACACTGCTGGCTCATATTCAGCTGGCTGCCAACCAGCACCCCCAGGTCTTTTTTTGCCAGGCAACTTTCCAGCCACGCTACCCCAGGCCTGTAGCACTGCATGGGGTTGTTGTGACCCAAATGCAGGACCCGGCACTTGGCGTTGAACCTTATACAGTTATCCTTGGCCCATCGATCCAGCCTGTCCAGATCCCTCTGTAGAGCCTTCCTACCCTCGAGCAGATCAACACTCCCTCCCACCTTGGTGTCATCTCAAACTTCTTGAGGGTGCACTCAATCCCCTCATCCAGATCATTGATAAAGACATTAAAGAGAACTGGGTGTCTCCCCTCATTCTTAGAAAATAGTCTATACAAACTAGAGAAGAGAAACGTTACTAGGGACAGTACATGGTGACTTTGCACTGCATAGCAGGCCCACCTTTATCTGCTTTGAATGAGGTTGTTCCTTTAAAAAAATAATCCATTTTTTAATTCTACGTGCTCATCCATTGACACACAACTTCATAAATACATACACAAAATTTGAAGTTCCAAATGTTGTCTGATCTGGGGACAGTAAAAAAGCTTGTGAGCTTTAAAACACGATGAGGATCACAAATACATAAAAATATAAGTCATGTTGACAGGGGATAAAATGTGCAACAAATTCCTAGCAGGTTACTAGGAATATTTATTGCAACACATGGAGATCCCATGAGCATGACATGCATGAGTGTAAGTCCTTATGGTACAATTCCTAAATCCAGAACACCTCCCAGATATTCAGGTGGTGATTGAATAGTCAAATATTAATTTCTTGTCCCTACTTCCATTCCTGAAGTATACCAGAAGGACAAAAATAAATAAAAAAAAAATCACAGCACATGATTCACTGCTGCATATCAAGCTCTCAGCAGAAACCGGGCTCTTGACATGGATCTTCAGAGACACAACACCTCCATTTCATTCATTTTGTTAGGTGGCAGTGGTTACCTGTGAGATAGACTTTCTTCCTCCCAAAGCGATCTGAGAGCTGGCCAAAGGAGATTGCTCCCACAAACACACCACTGAAGTAGAAAGAACTGGCAGCACTGACTTTGTATGATGTGTTGCCAATTAAAAACCACTGGATGGAGGAAAAAAAAGAAAAGGCTAATTAACCAGAATCCAAACAGTTCAGCAGTTCACCAACAGCTAATAGTTCGAGGAGGATAACATACTTTAAGGAAAATCAAACTTTGCATAAATCTCCTAAGCATCACATTCAGTCAGGCATCAGATAGTCACCAAAACACAACTGCTGTCTGACTCACCGGGTGGTACTAACCAATTACACAGTTCCCCCAAATCACGTACAGTCTTTGATTCTGAAACCAAGGACAGATCCCTCAGAATATTGTAATTTTTGCAGCCTTCTCCCAATCTCCCTTTTATTGCCTTTTCTCACACAAATCTACTAGCATAAATACACTCAGTCCTACCTCCTGACCTATGCTGCCACAGTGTGTAGGCACACTACGCAAAAATAAAAATTGTGGTTTACGTCCAAAGATAACCCTGCATATGTTCCTCCTTATGAACTGTCTTGTCACTGAGAAACACTTTGGTAGCATTAGACAGGTTTTCTGGTATTGCAAATACTCATATTTTTCACAGTGTAATTTGTGTCATTTCCAGTTCTTCTCAATTCCAAATACAAACCTGATCTTCATATGTTTGCTTCTTACAGAATTAATGTCTCAGGTTGAATCTGACAGGAGAGTCTTTCCCCCACAAAACTGTAGAATGAAAATATGCCACATTCTCACTGTTCAAAAGTTATTTCCTTTTCTATTTTAAGAACTCCACATCTTCTGTTCTTTAATTTTCTACTCTTCTTGCACCCTGAGATAATGTTTCCTTTTAGTGATACCCAACTTTTCTTCCTGTGCTGGTAAGCTGGTGATTATGTCATTATCCCTGCAATAACACTCTAATCTTCTCCTCATAATCTTCTCTTCCTCTACCAAAATCCCATTAGATATCCTTTCTAGCAAAGCTTATATTATTTCAAAGCTCAGTTATAAACTACCTCACCATGAGAACAGAGCCGTGCAATTAAACCTCACCAAGATTAGGGAACTAACAAAACAAAATCATTCAGAAGCTCCAGGAACATAACTTGCTTACTCTCAGTATATGCTTCATTTTGAATTGTCACTTTAATGGTGAGGTGTTTACTGATACGGTAGGTAATATGCCCATAAAGCAACAAGACTAACAAAATTCAATTCTAAAACTAACCATGTGACAACAAATCAGTTTTTGAAGCTTCTCTAGATTTTAAAAACAATTCCCAGAAAAATAAATTTGCATAATAACAGCATATGAGATTAATTTTACCTTGAAATAACATGGTCAGTTTGTTTTATACAAGCTACAAGAATGATGCCCTAACTTTTGGTATAAACATTAAGGAAACTGCCAACACTGAAACTCAGTGACATTAGATGCCTTCTGAATCATTTGGGGATTAAGGGATAATTTGGTTGCAAAGCAAAATTTGTTCTGCAAATTAATCTCAACAGCTAAGACGGCCTCTAAAGGGCTTCCACATAAAGCATATTACATGTATATGCTTGATATTCATAAATCAAGCTTTTTACATTAGAATATTTTTCAGTGTAAATTTGCAATGGTCATATTATTAGTAAGTGATGCCACAAGTTAAGCATTACTCCTCCTCAAATGTAGAAAAAGCTTCTTTACACATCAGTAATGAAATTAGATAGTGACGAGATATACCCCAATAAGTGTGATCTAACATCTTTATATTTAGCACATAACTCAACTTCCAAATATACCACACATTCAGCTAAAATTTTGAAAAAAACTATTTTAACAGTGGGAAACGGGAGAGGTAACAAGACTTTTATACACATGGGCCTTTACTGAGAAGTATGTTAAAGAACTACAAAGCAGAATCTACACAAGTTGCCTTGGGATTTTTTTTTCCAGTTTTGTACTTTTCAAGTAAACTTTGCTCTTTACCTGCATTTCATATTCATTCAACTAAAATGCCTAAGAATCTTTATAAAATTTATGTCCTAAAACATTGCTAGGCTCCACACACATCTGACTTGTCAAGTTTAAAAGACTAAAAGAATCTTGGAAAAATTAAAAAGCAAAAAAGAAAAACGCAGAGAAAGTTTGAAAACCTTACTGAGCTTTAAATAATGCTAAAAAACAATCCACCATCCATTACGATTTTAATTTAAATAGTGGCAGAAGTACTCATATCCTCTTTATTACCAGAATAAAAAGCAATGCCTGTTGTACACAACTGTTTGGTACTATTCCAAAGCTGGGAGATTTTATTAATATGCTTATAAACAATAAAGTGCTTTACAGGGCTAATTCAGATAGCATTAATGCCTCCAGACAAAAGCCATGAATTATCAAGTGGTACTACACTTCACTCAACTGTACAGCTCTAAATTCAGGTCTTGTAACAGATGCACTCAGATAGGGCTCTTCCAAGAACAATTTGACATTAACAGATTCTGAAAGCCCCAGGAAGGGCAGGTGTTGCACAGTGCAGAGTCTGGAATCATTTCTGTAGGGACTGTGGCTAGACCACAAAAGAAGACACTTAGAGAACACAGAGGCCACACCACCACACCAATAAAGCTAAAAGTTGTTTTGGGATAGGACGGGGAGAGTTGCTTTGTCCACCTGACTCCCTACTGCCCATGTCTTCCCTCATACCTGGAGTTGCAAAGACTGCAGAAGCCAGTTCCTCTCCAGTTCCTCCACTGCTTGCTAACTGCATGATGGATGCACTACAGGCATTTGACCTTAGCAAGGGAATCACAAGAGGTGGCCAGAAAGAGCTCAGGGTCCATAAGGGATTTTGAGTACATTAGTACAAGAAATAGCATGATTCCAGCTCAGTTGTGGAACCAGGCTACAGGATCCAATATATAACTTCCACATGAAGAAGGTTAGAAGTTTTGGAGCAGAACTTTGGTCAAGATCTGCATAAAAAAAAGCTAGTTTTTCTTGCCAGTAAATATATGAATAGATTACCTGTTCCCTACCTGGAGGCAGCACCTGTTTCATTTGCTAATCAAAACATGCATTGGTATGGAAGAAAAAAGCAGTATAACCAGGCGCCTACAACCAACCCAATAAGATTTACTACTCAACACAAGGCAATGAAGCACATTTCAGACTTACCTCTGAGACTATTGATGTGAAGCTGCTGCTGAAGTGTATGTGCTTATGCACCTCACTGCCATTGGCAGTCAGAAGCCATTCCCCAAAAGCTCTCTGCTCACTCACTGACTGGTTGCTATGGCTCCAATTAGCTGAGAGCTCTTGGAGATCCCAGTGGTAGGGAGGAGTTGCGCCCACCAGTGCAATGAGGATGGCTTCAGTGGCCACATAGAGCTGGCATGAAAGACAAAAACCAAAGATGCTAAACATACATCCAAGCAATGCTTCCTCTGCAGCTGAATCAAATCAGTATTAATACTCGTATTTTATATTCACCTTCTACCACTACAAGATGCCATGTATAGCCCCCATCTACCAAATATCATGCGCTAAAGAACCATAACTTCAAGACGGTGGTTCTTGCACTTTTGATATGTTGATTATTTGAGAGAAAAAAAAGTTCCTCTCCTGACACCCTTCCCTCAGTCAGAGGCCCCCCAACTCTCACACACAGTAAGTACACCTCCTGGATGCATGGAAAGTTGTTAGTAATACTAAGGAGACAAAATAAAACTATCCATTAATGCAAGTATATTATTCTACTATATCCTCTCCTTCCACCTGTGTTGTTCATTCCTCTACTTGGATATTTGGAATAAATTTCCTCCTCACTGTTTCATATCTAATCTTTCCCAGTTTTACCAAAATCAATTCTTTCCTATTTTTTAATCTTCTGTGAACCTGTTTTACTCTAAAAAAAAAAAAGAGATAAAGGCACACATGTGAACATACATATACATTTTTTAATATATCTACACATTTATACAGACACACAAGGTCTAAATACCACAATTAACAGCTGGCTTTGTTTAGGAAAGAATAAATACAACTGCTGGAAACCCAGACATTTCAAGCCTGGTCTAGAGCTGGGTCACTGCTGCTTGCTCATAAGAACATTCACAGGCCACTGCTTTAACAGGCTACGTTACAACTCCATCTTAAAACCCAGTGGTTTTAGACCTGTTTGAACATAGAAGTGCCACAAGTTCAGCAACAGAAGACAGCTGACAACATCTTCTGAGGCAAAAGGAGTTGCTGGCAACAACACAAAGACACCCCCCCCACCCTCTCCAAATAACAATGCCTCTTGTCACAAGCCCTCACTGAAGAATGGTAACTCAGCACAGTACCTCCTGATAAAAAAAAAATTCTGTTGCTTCTCCTGGCTACTACTACCTCCATTAAAAAAAAACCCTCAGCCACGCCACTGCGATCCTCAAACCCCACTTCAGCTACCTCCTGAATACAGTCCCTGCTCTGCTCCCAGCACCTCCTCCGTATGTTCTTGGGAAAAAAGTACCAGCAGGAAGTGTGTTCTCTCAGAAAGCTGCTACATAAATAATTCTCAAAACTGGGAAGACCATAGATAGGCACAAAAAAAAAAAAGTCTGAGGACCTCTGAATTCCGATGCAAGCAACGCCACATAATCCTATTCTGTGTTCAACAGCTGAGCAGAGTTACACCCAGGTCTGAATGAGAATTACTACTAAATTAACACAGAGACCCCCGAGTTATTACCTGAAAGCATGTCCTTTCCATCAGCTCCTTTTTGCATTCTACATGATCAACTGCTACTGTAGTGGCAGGAGGTAAATACTTCAAAAAATCATTCTCTTCCCATTTTTTAATATAGAATTATTGAATATCAAAAGGAATTTGGAAGAAAAACCACAATCTGTTAAGTATGTTATTATTTAAACTAAATAACTTCTAGATAGATAATGGTGAAAGTAAAAGACTTTGTCTGCAAAAGAAGGCAATGACTAAGATTACATGGGGAAAGAGGTGTTACAAAGCTGAGTGGCCATGTTGCTAGGGATGTATGGATACGGTACTCTCAAGAACAGTTTGAAATTACTGAGAAATGAGAATTACAGGTCATGATCTGTGGTGCATCCCTGTATTCCAACTATCTCAGACAATCCATGTCAGGACTAAGTGATAACATCCTCGCTTTTGTCTTGTGAAATAATAAACATATTTTTGAAGTAGTTCAGGAAATGAAATCCTCAAGGCATTTAGTTTAGAGAAAGAAAGCATAACACTTTTCATTTTTGCTGTAGGTGAAACCCACCCCAGCTACAGAAAACCAAATCAAAAAATAAGTGATTGCAGGCACACAAAGAAACACTACAGATATTTTTTCAATAAAAAAATCCAGCCTTAAGCATCCTAGTGGCTGCAGCAAGCAAGGATATAACAAAGATAGAAACACTTTCAATTGATCTGTTGAATCAGAAAAATGTATGAAGATGGAGACATGTTTTATGTTATCAAATAGTATTGTTCTATACTGAAGTTCACTGGAGTCACTGCTGCCACAAGACTGTTTTTCCTAGTGATCATCCGCCTTGTACTTTGGCTAACAGGCATGGTAAACCTTCTTCATTTCATTGCAAAATCAAAACAAAACCAACACCCACAAAACACCTCCCAAAATTTACACTTCTGAAGACCAGAAATATTTTCTAGAAGTAGTCTTAAATATGATGAAGTGCAAACTTAAAGAAATTCAGAATACAGTTTTTAACATTCAAATAAAAGGCAGGGGTTTCTGTTAATGAATCTGGAGATTCCCCCTCTAAGAATTCAAAACGCTTGCACTTAGCAATCACAGTTGTGTGGGCTGGTAATCAATATAAAATGCTATCAAATCAGAATAGAAATATTATATAAAACAACTTTATAAGGTATAAAATGGCTACTTTATACACACCATGGCAAACAAAGCATTTAATTTTTCATTTGTTCTACAACCCATATAGTGCAAGTCAAGTCAAAATTTATGTCACTTAATGTATACCTTCTATTCATTAAAGATTTTTAATTGGCTCTACATGGATGTTAACAGTTCCCCACCAAAATTCCATGCACTGATCTGTATTAATCAAGATGAACACCAAGCACAGGGGGAGGAGGCAGCAGCTCATAGTCACTGATGATGAAATGCTGAGTTTTGTTAGTTTGGTTTAAGTTTCTCCTGTTTGTTTATATTCTCTGTAGGTTAAAATTTTATAGTTGTCTAGATTAGAAGTCCATGGTGTAAGGAGATTTATTAAAAGGCAACACGCTAACAACCTGTAAACTTTCACTTTCTCTGGTAAGTAGAAGGAGTTTTAGCCATTTATAGCTATTTCATTAACAGATTTTGAAATTAACTTAAATTAACATTTTAAAATTAGTATTCATAGAAATATCTGGAATGTCTTGACCAACTTTGTTGGAAGTAATTTATTATGAAAATAACACCAAGGAAAATGTAGAATCTCTAATAAGACTAGCAAGGGAGGGAGAGGAAGAACTTAAATAGTTACATTTATGTATAACGAAACTACACAAAAATAATTTAAGAAACTCTTTTAGAGCTCATAATTTACCCATTATTAAGCACAAATGAAAAACAAAAGCAAGACTTAAATTCTACTAGGAAGTGCTTTCAACCTTTTTAATCAGCTCATTAGCAATTCACAACCAGCCTGGTTATTCTAGACAAGTATCAGCTGAAGCATTCACTGCTGAACAAAATAATGAGTAAGCCACTAACTGCTGACCTTTCAAACACAGAAACATTAAAACTGCACCTTAAGGAAAGATAGAAATTAAGGAAGAACCTGGCTCTGGCAGAAGCCTACAGTTAAGAGATGGTAACATTTTAGGATTAGAGTCATTTTTTCCTGAACCCATGACAAGCAGCTGAAAAGCTGGAGGGCCACCTTATTTTTGAAAGTCTGATGATCTCATCTGCTCCAAGTTATTTCAAAAGGGTGATTTGCCTTTAAAGACACATGAACTTCCCCCCCAAGTCTTGTGTGGGAAAGCCCTAAAACATCTTTCTGCTGCAAAATTTTTACCTGCTGCTAACAACACACTCTTCTAGCAATGTATCTTCCCCCTCTTGGTAGCACAATGAGAGAACACCTTAAGACAGAAGGAAAGGCTATGTTGTAGTTACAAAGCAAAGACCCATCATGTGCAGAACACAATGTCATCTCTCAGACACTTAAACCCAGCCCCACTCTGATAGGAAATATTCCCCATGAAGAATGTAACCACTGTTGATTATTATCTGTGCAATGAGAAAGTCAACACATTTTGAAAGAACTTAGGGTTTCTGTAGAGAAACTGAGAAACGTACCCAATTCAGAGGTTTTCAACCTTACAGTGTAGGCCTCCAGAATCTACATAAAAAGGTCCAAAGTCTGCCCAAGCCCATACACAGCTTTATCCTAGAATTCTTCAACATCAACATTGAAATCTAACACTGTACATCAAACCGCAACTCTCAGAGCCTCATTTCCTACAGGTCTGTGGAAAACGTGCCCCTAGCTTCCCCTTCTTCTCTGTTCCAAACATCCAAACACACACATCAACTCTGTTTCATGCTCAGTATCATTTTGGTAGGCAATGGCATCAGTAGGGGTTTGGTGCTGCTCCTGCTCAGACCAGCCAGGCAGCACACGTGCAGATTAGTCAAGCAACTGCTGCCACCAAACAGCACGCACACACACAGACAAGGCCTGCTTTACTTCCCATCAGCACAGGCAAACAGTTGAGTCTCAAGAGCAAATAACTTCATTACACAAGTTTTCTGCAAAGGCAGTCCAAAGAGCCAGCTCCTGTGTACACACCTTTGCCTGACAGGGCCATGGGAACCCTGCACACACCTTGTACCTGTACTCCTGCCTACCTAATGATGACAAAACTGGTGATAGCATTGGTGATAGGACTGCAGGATACAGACCTAGGCTCTCACCTCCTCAGCTCAAGTTGCTTTAATAATTATTTTGTAGTCTATCACGAGAAAACGAATCTACCCTTTTTCTGCCAACACACAGAAGTGATCTTTACAAGCAAAATTTAGGGAAGTAATTTCAGCTCTGCACTTTTGTCACTAGTGCCATTCTAGAGATCCAGTATTCCTAGGTAAATTGATACCATTTGAGATTTCTCAGTTATTGTCAGTGAACCCAAGACTGCTTGTCAGTCTGCTTGTAACTGGAGAGCAAAACAGAAGGTGGAATGCAGAGGGTGACAAAGGAAAGTCAAAACAAAGTTCCACAAAGCGTTCTGCAAGAACAAAACAATATTCTTCACACAAGATCACATGAGTGAATTTAACTCTGTGAGTATGCATACTTCATTAAATTGTGTCAATAGCACAAGATTCTTCTAC